GGATGTCAAAACTGCGTTCCTGAATGAATATCTCACTAAAGATATCTATATGCAGCAACCGCAAGGTTTCATAGCTGCGGGTCAGGAATACATGGTATGTAAATTAAATAGATCCATATATGGACTTAAGCAAGCTTCTAGGAATTGGAACATCCGGTTTGACTCTACTGTCAAAAAGTTTGACTTTGAGCAAAACCCAGATGAGCCCTGTGTTTACAGGAAATCCAGTGGTGATAAGATTACGTTTCTGGTTCTGTATGTAGACGACATTCTACTCATTGAGAATGATGTAGGAATGTTGACTACGGTGAAAGTGTGACTTTCACAGCAATTCTCCATGAAAGATTTTGGAGAAGCCTCGTATATATTAGGTCTTCGACTCTATAGAGATAGATCGAAGAGGATAATAAGATTATCTCAATCTGCTTATATTGACAAGATAGTCAAAAGATACAGCATGGAGAACAACAGTAAATGTGCTAACAAATCAGATGGACTAAGAGCATTAAGCACTGTGCTTTCTGTTAGGTCTTGGAAAAATGTAAGAGTTGCTCTTTTGGCTGCTCAACTGATTGTGAAGGTTTTACAATTGGTTGATGGTGATGAGAAACCCGCAATGGTTATTTTTACTATGCAATGGAGCAAGCAAGAGAAAAAATAAAAGAAAACTTTAGTGGGAAAGAAAGGGAGTATAAACTCATTTTAGACATTTTTTATAGGCGTTGGACTAATATGATGCAACATCCATTGCACCTTATTGGTTTCTTTCTTAATCCAACCCTTTATTATAAGGCTAAAGCACAAGATGAAGCATCGGTTGGAAAGTTTGAAATGGGCTTTCTAGATTGCATTGAGAGAATGGTCAATGATATTGAAATTCAAGACAAGATCTCTCATCAGTTAGAAGAGTATAAGCACGCTCGTGGTGCTTTCTCTAAAGAATTGGCAATTAGGCAACGTGAAACGAAACAACCAAGTAATATAAGCTCTCTTTTCTTGAAACTTATATTTATATTTTATTCCTGTTATTTTAAATTTATATTGTTTTAATTCATTTTTTCTATTTTGTAGCTGATTGGTGGCATAGCTATGGACATTGCACCCCAAACCTTAGGCGTGCATTACGCATATTAGGTCTTACATGCACTTCTTTTGCTTGTAAGCGCAATTGGAGCACTTTTGAGCATGTAAGTTCTAAGTAATGGACCTAATGTTTGGTTTTGTGATGAAATTATTTATGAAAGTTAAGAATTTAAAATGCTTATTTTTATAATTTTTCTTATTTTGTTGTGAATGTAGATTCATACAAAAAAGAGGAATAGGCTTGATCAAAAGAGGCTAAATGATCTTGTATTTGTTCAATACAACCAACGCCTTTGAGAGAGATTTACAACAAAGCGTGCAAATCCAAAGCAATTTGACCCTATTTGCTTTGATGATGTAGATGAAACCAGTGAGTGGTTGACTGGGAAAGACCCCTCAAATGACTTGGTCCATGAAGGGTGTGATCTTACATGGACTCAAGTTGATGAAGCATTAGGGGCATCTGAAATCCTTGAAGGGTYAAATAGGCCAAGGAGAAGTGGACATGGGCGTGGAAATGCAAGTAGAGGTCCAAGTAGAGGCAGAGGTAGAGGTAGAGGTGGTCGTGGAAAAGGTGAGTCTGGAAGACAAGATAAAGGCAAAATAGTTGTTCAAGAAGAAGAAGAAGAAGAAGAGCAGATATGGGACAATGATAGGAAGATAATGAAGATGAAGAAGATATTGATGTTGAAGAAATGATGATGATGATGACAGTGATGATGAGGATGAAGATGTTGATTATGGTGCTAATGATGTTGGTGCATTCAATGGAGGTGTTAGTGGTTCTTACTTATTAGACACTCTAAATAATTAGGAATAGAGTATTTTCTTTATGGATTGTATTGTTTATAATACATTTGAAGTTTTAAACTTCAGTCTTCATATTTATTTTTTGTGGTGTGGACTTGTGGGGAACTGGAGATGAATGATGACTTATAGTTTAGTTTTATACTTATTCATTATATGCTATTATGCTTTTTATTTTTTAATGGTTTCATGACTTTCAAGTTTCATAGTTTAATCTTATTATTTCTTAAAGTACCAATCATCAACCAAGGTATGTATTGAACTCTTATGAATATTTTTATTTTTGTTGTAGTGCTTCTTCCATTTGTTAATGATAGATTGATAAGGTTGATTTCTTATTGATTGATTAATTCTTTTAACTTGTTTTCTTATTAAAGGCAAAGTTGCAGAAAAAATAATACTCGAGATCAACACTCAATCATCCAAAAGGTATGGTACTATCTACTAGTTTACTTTTTTAGTGTTGCCAACTTGGAACTTGCCATGTTAGTAGACTTTTTCTCTCACTTTACTAGTTTAATTTTTATATTTTCACATGAAAATTATACTCATATGAAAGATTTTATTGATTATGCTTAGTGTAATATGTAGCTAGTTAGCAAATATATCTTATAAAATAGTTTAGGTCCTTTAGGAAGTATAGAAATCCATAAATTAATATATTTATAGATTCCATCGCCTAGGCGTCGCCTAGCTATGATAGGTAGGTTAGCCAAAGTTGATTTTATCAGAGTGATCCTACTTCCCAAAGAGATATAGCTTCTCTTTCAAGCAGCCAATCTCTTTTTACATCTTTCTATAACTAGGTTCAAAAAATTGCTTTCCTTAGGGTTTGCACATAGAGGAAGCCCTAGGTAGGTCAAAGGCCAAGTGGTGATATGACATTCTAAGCATTCCACTATCCTATGTAGGACATTCCCCTCCATGTTAATCCTTGTTGTGCAACTCTTGTCCAAATTGATTTTCAGATTTGACACTTTTTCAAACTTTTTGATTAGATCTTTCAATCTCCTGATATCTCCCCCTTCACAAAAAATAATGATATCGTCTACAAATTGGAGATGAGTAATTGGAACGTTATCTATACCCACTCTCCAACTCCTAAAATCATCCTCCCTGTCTACCTCAGAGAGGAGTCTACTAAAGAGATCCGCCATTAAAGTAAAAAAGAAGGGTGAGAGGGGATCACCTTGCCTTAACCCTCTTGCAAGCTAGGAAGAAGTCTTTTACCACTCCATTAACAAGGATAGAAAAATGACATGATCATACACACCCAAGCATCCAATTGCACCATCTCTCCCCAAACCCCATTGTTGCAAAACTTCTTTCAAAAATCCCCAATCCACCATGTCATAAGCCTTTTCTAAGTCCAATTTGCACACAAAACCTTACAGCAAGATAAAGTCCAAATTAATACAATGATACTTTACTTCTCTCTCAAAAAAAAAAAATTACACACAAAACCTTCCTTCCTAGATCTCTTCATTTCCTCTACACATTCATTGACTATCAGAATTTGATCAACTATTTGTCTCCCTTGAACAAAAGCTCCTTGATATTGACTAATGAGAGAGGGGAGAATTACTTTGATCCTCAACGATAGGACTTTAGCAATTATCTTGTAGACATTGGTCACTAGACTAATGGGTCGGAAATCTTTTGGATGGCTAGCATCACCTTTTTTTGGAATCAAGGCCAAGAAAGTTGCATTAACTTCGGGGCTAACGATATGTGTATTTGAAAATTCCTTAAAGACTTCAAATAAATTGTCTTTCAACACTTCCCAACAATCCTAATAGGAAGCCCTTGTGAACCCATCTGGGCCCGGTGCTTTAGACCTATTCGTGGAGAACATTGCCTTTCTTATTTCTTCTTCCTCAAAATCTCTTTCCAGCCAATTTGCTGCCTCCTCCTCTAGTAAAGGCCACTCCAATCCTTCTAAACTCAATCTATCCTCCAAAGGTCTCCTGTAAAAGGATTTAAAGTGGTCCACAAAGATTCTGGCAATTTCTCCTCTGCATTCTAACATGAAACGCCGCAACTTATCTTTCATTGAAAACAAAAATCAAAGGTACCATGGAGATTCTTTTAATGTTTCTTTTTTAAGTTGAGTTCCTTTGTTGTCTAAATAGTTGCCCTATTGAGGGCAATATTGGTGATTGTACACTTTTTATTCTTTTAATATAAAAATAGTAGGAGGAGCGGCCTAATTAGTTTTTGGCCTTCTCTTCCTCTTCTCCCATCTTCTCTTCTTCTACTCTCAAGAAACCCTTTTTTCTTTTCTTTCGTAAGTCTTTCTTATTTCTTTTCTTTTCTAGTATCCCATCCACATTGAACAAAGTGAAACTCAATTTTGGCAGCTGCAGTAATCTAGGACCATTGGACACAAGGGTAGTCATAAGGAATAGTTCAGGTTATTTTAATACTCTCTATTCAGGTCCAATAGGCAAAGGACACTCCACACAGGCCAAACTGCATGATGTCCTAAAAGGTTTAAAGATATGCAAAGGTTGATTTTGCAAAATATTGTAGTAGAGGGTGACCATATGAAGTTGTATTGTATAAAAAGGCAACTATCAACAGTGAATTACTTCTGGAATAAAGATTATCAATTTAGCATATACTTAAAGACCATGTATATTGAGACTCAATATGGCAAAGGATAAGCTGTCTTCTTTTTCCCCAATTTGGAGGCCATGTTTAACTTTTTTCTCCCAAATCTTACAAACAGAATCCAGATAAGTGTACATTTATCCTAGTAAACATATTCTCCTAAGGGCACCCACCATTCAAATATGGCACATGTATATTTTTAATTTTCATGAAAAATGAAATAAAACCGATAATCTAAAATTTGTCTCTGAAAAATCAGTTAGCAGTTTCCATGCAGAGGCATATTTTTTATAAGTTCCATGCAGAGGTGTATGCCCAACAAAGGAATTCTTAAAAGATCTTTATCCTTCCTAAACAGAAAGGCGGAAATAAATAATTCAGACAGGCAATTTAATTTAAATCTCACCACTTATCAAAAAAAATAAGTTTAATTCTCACACTCTCACACAAGAAGGTAACAGATTGGTCTCCCCCTAGTGATGCCAGATGAAAATTACCTTTGCAGTTTGTGTGTCCACAACCCTGTTCTCAACCAAGTCACATTTATTTCCTACAAGAAGCTTGCATACACTATCATTAGCATATCTATCAATCTCATTCAACCACTGCTTGACATTGTTGAAGCTTTCCATCTCAGTGACATCATAAACAATCTGTTGGCAGTGCATTACATCAGTAAGAATTGGCACATGTGTTGTCAAATCAAATAACAACTGAAGTAAGAAATGTCAATCATAAATTTAATACACAAATGTGTCACATATGGGGTATATAGCCCCTTTCAGAACACATTAGCACAATTATTGTCCCTATGAAGATACAATTACCAGGATAATGCATAGGAGGGTGCCTAGGCAATGAGGCATTTTCTGGGGACACTTCTGTAGCACATTATATTTGCATGCATTTAGACACCCTCTTAGACAACAAAAAGGGCAAGACAGGCAACTTATTATATGTTGTATAAAATGTTGCAATTTGTTTATGCTATATGATAATAAGATCATATAAGATATATAGCATAATGTAGTTCATTGCTTAATTTACTAGGATTTTTGCTACAATACAATACTCCATTTCATGGACTCAGTTTGTTCTAATACTCATTTGTTTTGAATAACTATGCTATTGACTAGTTTCTTCACTTATTTGTCATTTTGTTGGGGTTTTTACTATATGAATTCATGATTTTAAATGCTTTGCTAATTTTGCTGAATTTTATTGATTATGTTGTGTATGAAAAAGAAGAAGAATTGGTCGTTTAAAAGGTATCTAATTTCCTACATTTTTGGGCATGGAGGGATGGTTCTATGGTTTCTAAATTTGAAGAAAATGCCTTTGACTTATAAAAAAAAGTGGTTTAAAAGGGGGATGTTTTTATAACTTATAGCTTCTAAATTTGAAGAGAATTTTGAATTTTAATTTTTTAGTAGGTATCAACAAGCCTGCAAAGGTGTTTTAGAATGGCTAGAAGATTTAGCTTGAGTTGATAAGTGCCTTGTAGGATACATAAAATTTTCTTGAACTTTAACTTGAAATTATGTAACTCTAAAGAGTCGTTTTTAAAATATCAAACTCACCTATTTTGCTTCGTTTTATTGTCTTTGGAGAGCTTTCTGAGTTAGCACTTACCTAATGAAACTAAGATGTTGCATATTCTATGTAAAATGGGATAGTTATCACAATTTTCTTGGCAGGGTATCAGTGAGGAATGGAACTCAGTATAGACTATATAGTTTATACTCTATAATAGCAATGTATCCAAGACCTATCGGTTATGAGAACTCAATGAGAGCTGAAATTTTCTTTTTGATAAATAATGAGAGGTGAAATTTTAGCTGTTGTACAGGTTTGAAGGTGGCAAGAGAAATGCATTTGGAATCCATTGTATCGTCGAAGTTTAACTTCATGCTCTGGACAGCAATTCTGGATAAATGTCTGACAAGGGTTAAGTTAATTTCATGAGGGATGACTATCCAATCCTCTGAGTGTTCCACATGGCAGTGCATAACTGAGACAGATGATCATCTTTTGATGCATTGTAGGGCGAGGTACAGGATCTGGTCCTTCTTTCATCAATTGCTGAGAATTAACTGGTGTATTGCAAGGTCCCTCAAGGGAAGCTCTTAGGCATTGGTATATTATTCGGCTTGTCAAAAGAGGGAAGCTGGTCTGGCACATAATCCCCACCACAATTGTAACATGGACCATTTGGAAGGAAAGAAACTCAAGTCTTTGAAGACAACACTATTACTTCCCCAACCTTTGGTAAGTGACATTAAGTTTTCTTTCTTCCCCTATCTTCTCTCTAATGCTACAAGCACCCATCACAGCCATCAATAGCATAAAAATTCATAAACAAAGCAATTCATTCAACATCTCTAAAGGATTGAAATTGATCCAAGTATGTTTTTAGTTTACATTAAAACTCATTTTTTCCATTTCAGCCTTTCCTGTCCTTTTGTGTCAAACCATCTTCAAACTCCAAATGCTATCAATATCAAGTTTCTTCCATAAGTTTTCATCACCCTTCATCCTATCAGATTTCAACCCAAAACTCCATCTAAATCCTATTTCAGAAATTTGGCAGTTCTTTTCCAAAGGAATTTTTTTGCCCATCTGTGAAAAAGTTTCCTATGTTGCCTTCAAATTAAATTGCCCAAGACAATAACATTCTAGACATCTCTGCAAAATCATACTAAAAAACCCCATCATAAGCCTTCTCCTCCTCCATGAGGTGCATGAGGCATACCAGAGGCATACGCCTCATGCGTAAGGTGCTTGAGATGCATGCACCATGCATCTAAGGCATATTCCCGAAACACCATTAAAAACATTGGTCCCTAATGCAATAGGAAAATGCTAAGTCTACAAGGCTACAACTGGAGGTAGTTGTAGGATTTTCTATCATCACAATATGTAACACATGGCGTCAAGACCCTTGTAAACTATTGTGCAGGCATAATTGAAATGACACAAAACAGTGCAAGTTATAAAGTTCAACCTTCTCAACAGGTATTGATCCATCAATATCTCATGTTAGAATGGTAGCAACTTCTATAACCATCTTGTAGGCAAGCATCCCCAATTTAATATTGTAACTTTGTTTATATGTCTACATAAAATAAACTTATGTTTAACAAGGTTTCAATTTTACTAATGAGCTATAGGTTCAAGTCTCATGAAAGTTATTTTTAATTAATTTTATTAGTAACATATAATATCTAATCCATTTTTAGTTTACTTAATTAATGAAATGCAATATTTGTTTACAATCTTAATTGTAAACACAATATGAATAGAATTAAAAAGGAAATTTAAAAAGGAAATGCAATACCTAAATCCTTTTTTTTATTATAATTAAAAAGGAAATTTAAACTTATATCTGAATCCAATTATAGTGCAACCACAATATGAATAGAATTAAACTTAAACCTAGGTAGATTCGATCCAAATCCTATTGTTTACGATCTTAATTGAATCTAAAGCTTACTGATAAAAAAAAAGGCTTAAGTGACATACAATTTGAAGCCCAAGCCTCTTCCAAATCGGTTAAGGCCATTAGTGTGATGCTATGTTGGCTCAACCTCAAAGCAAGCATTTAAACCATGGTTTTATATACCCTAACCCAACCATATATTATATAATTCTAAAATTTTAAAGCAATTAGCAAGAATATAACAAAATAAAGGCATATGTAACATTATTTTGTTAAAGATAATAATAAATAAATAAAATAGAGGATATCCAATATTATTTTAAACAGTTGAAGATCAACATGAACAAATAAAATCAACTTCTAGGTTAACTAGGTCAACTAGGGAAAATGGTCCTTTTTTAGGAAAATGTAAAGTATATTTGACCTAGTTGAGAAGGATGGCCTATTTGATGCTTAGACATCCTAGACAACCATATATGGTTATCAATGCACTTGTTGAAGATGCAGTTGATACGGTTAATCAACTAGTCATCAAGACATCAACTAGACAGTACTTTGATAAAACTATCAAAAATAAACAAGTTCAACAAGACACTAAGATCAATTAGATAAAAGAAGAGAAATGGCTGACAGACGAAAGTGATCAGGAAGACTTTCATACAATGATTCCATGTGCTCCTCGGTAATAACTGCTGGTTATAGTCCTAAACCGCTCCTGTCCTGCAGTATCCCACTAAACAAACAAACAATAAGCAGCAGCAAAGGTTAAATAAGCTTGACTAGAATCTTAAAATAAGGAACGATTTTATTGTTAGCAGATGACTTACATAACCATATTCTGGATACTGCCCTTTTCTTGTCAAATTACAATCATAAAAGTGATTATCCTATATACATAATACTGAGATTTATATATCCAAATGAACCACATGAATTACTGATAAACATTAGGACCACCACTTACCACTAAGAACAAGAGTTTTTTACTTTTTTTAATATCTCTTCTGAATGACCTAGTTCGTTAACCACATTAAGGACAAAGAAGCTATATATATATATATATATATATATATATATATATATACCTTTTGTTTTGACAACAGAATGTTTACCAATTAAAACAAGGTTAAGTCAAATTCTCTAAGTGTGAAAAATGGGTACTTCTCATACTTATGTTAGCAAACATCTCCATCCAAGAAGAAAATATATTCTAGCAACAGTTTGCATTTAAAATTTAAGTAATCTGAATTCTTTGAAGTGTACCTAGGAAGCTCTTATCTGGCACTTTTTAACTCCACCCAATGAACTGGGTTTCACCTTAACAATGATGGCACCTCTTGTTAATTGGAGTGTTTTTTTCCCTCTCTGGGGTCGTGAGGGATGCCCTCCAGGATGACCATGGCATTCCAAGGCAAATCATCATCATCCAATGGCATCCAACGCAAATATTAGGGGGAAATTATTATCACTAGAATCTATATGCTGCTTCAGGCAATCCCTAGCCTCAAACCATGGCACTTGAGAGGTTTCATGTTCATACGGACTCAAAGGATCTCTAAAAGCCCAAACCTTATCCAGAAAGAGTTCAAATTCTTCATGAACTCCAAACCAAAGTGAAAGCTTTTTCACGCCTGCTCAATAGCAGTTGCTAATATACCAACCGTAAATCTTGTTCATCAAATGTCATGTAGGATCCACCTAAACCATCTTACTTACCAAAATAATATTTACTAAAATTTGATTCAGCATCTAAAATTACCAAATGAGCCCCACCGATTATAAATTATAACAGAAGGAAAGCTTAACAATATACACGCAAATCCAATAATCCAAGTATCGTAACAAAGACGTATACTCTGTTTTTGATTTTTTTTGAAGGGCAACACAACAGAGGGTAGCCCATTCCCCAACCCATAACCCCCCCAACCTAGGTGCAGGAGGGATTCGATCCCAAGTCTCCGCTACGACCAGCAGAGACCTTACCAACCAGCTTGTTGGCATCTTGCAAGACGTATACTCTGTTACTCCAACAAACGCTGTTTGGAACTCAAAGAATCTCATCAGATAACTCACAATTTGCAGCTTGATTGTCTTTCCATCCAGCTCCACAGTCCTAATTTTCTGAGAAGCAAAATGGAAATTTACACAAATAAATATCATCAACTAAACAAAGAAACAACAAAGCGAAATGGAATATAAAGGTAACAAAGACTCACGAAATCGACTCCAATGGTACTGATGTAGCTATCCACATACGAATCATCCTAAAAAATTAAAAACAAAAAAAAATTAACTTGAAATTTTCCCTCCTAATAAGGCATTCACTGTCTCACTCAATCCTTCTGCGAGATCTGATGAGAAACCTAACTGAAAACCATTCTGACACAAGCACTACTAAAACAATTCAGAAAACCAACTACTTACTGCAAATCTGAGAAGAAGACATGATTTTCCAACGGAGGAGTCCCCAATCAACAGAAGCTTAAACAGATAATCACTGTAAAAGAAACAGAAAACCAAGAAAAATAAGACAAAATTAAAAAAAAATGGAGGACTACAAAGGAGGAGGGAAGCGAAATCTTACTATTCGTTACTCATGATTGAAAACTTTTACTGAAACAAAAGCTTCAGAAAATTCTTCTTAGAGGCTTTTTTTCCCTTCCCTTTTAGGGTTTGGTTGTTGACAGGTGGGAATTTTGTTGGAAGAAAAGGGAGAGTCTTGCTTCAGAACTGAGCTGCCTCCCAAAGATAAAAGATCTCCTACCTTTTCATATATTTAGGAAAAGGAGAAGATCAGAAAAGAAGATAGAAGACGTCTTTTTCGTCTCGTGTCGTGCCGTTTTCATGACTTCACGACTCATCATCTGACCTCTAGTTTGTTTCAGATGGACAGCACGTCTACCAGTTGGACAGCACGTCTACCAGAGAGTTAAAGATATATAACGTGGCAGACCGTGATTGGTTGATTACGCATAGGATCCGTGATCTGTGTTGGACTGGTAGGCACTCTCCCACTCTCAGTGGACTCATCAAGACTTCTACTCATCCGTAAGATTGGAATATTGTTGTTGAATCGGGAAGGGTCAGCGTGGCTGTCAACGTTACGGAGGCGTTTGGTAAGAAAACATGGAGGAGGGCTTCCGTTGGGGACTTGGGGTAGCCCTGCCCCAAACACTTTGACCATTCAAGTTGCCCGTTGGGTCTTCCCTGCCCTTTGTTTCCAAAAAGACTTAAATATAGCCTTTAGTTTTCAGAAATTGACTTAATTGTATTTGAGGATTTGAAATAGACTTGTATAGCTTGTGGGTTGACTCTACTTAAACATACCGTCCCATAAGTGAAACTTCACATATGAATTCATTTATTTTTTTAATCTTATTTTGCCCTTTTATACTTACTACTATATATAAGTGTGAATGTAGTGTAAAAAATTTTTTAAATAAAATTATCATCTATTTTTTTATTTGATAAAGGGTATAAAAGCCATTTTATTTTAATTTTAATGTTAGTTTTAATGACTACTATAATGATCATATTTGTATTTAACCATCTCTAAATATAAGAGTTGAAAATGTAACTTCAATTCTTATTTTCCACCTCATTTAATCACCTTTCATTAAGTCTTATACTTAAGGGGGCGTTCTTTTTGGGAAGTTACCAAGAATCTTATATTCTTTTTTTTAGATTTATGTGGGAACCATGGAAATTTTATTTTCCTGAGTATCACTTACCCAGGTAAGTGGTATTCATCTCCTATGTGGGTAAATAACTTTCCCACCTGGGGGGAAAAGTTGCCAATACTTGAATAGGACAAAAACGTCTCTTTTAATAATGGATTTTTATGGCTAAAATGGTCATTGTCTTATTTACATTGGTAAATGCATACGGAACACTTTCCTGGGTAAGTGCATTTACCTAAGTAAGTAACTTATCAAAAGCAAACGGGACCATTAGGTATTAATTCACATTTTCTCTTATTAAATCATATATTTAAGTTATTCTTCACCAATAAATGATATTAATTAGATCTATGTCACTATTTTTAACAATATAAACCCATATATTTTAAAATTGGCTAAAAATAAAAATATTCTTTATCCAAGTGATGGCTAAGCAATTCAACCATTCGAATCAAATTGATAAACCTATGAAATCATAGTTAGGTAATAAAAATTTTAAAATAAAAATAAATATAGAAAATTACAAAATATAGAAAAAATTACACACATTTATGATACTTCTATTAATCAAATTAAAAAAAATAAGTGTAATAAAAATAATTATTTTAGTGAAAATGAAAATGAAATATATACCTTAGAACCGACCAAAAATGAAATTATTTTACTTTTTAGGAAAGATCAATAGTTCAACTTTTGGGTCAAATGTATTAACACTTAATGTCATAAATAAAATATAAAAATTAAAAAAAATGCATAAATGCTGCAAAAAAAAAAACATTTAGGCACATGTATAATATTAATTAATTATCATATTAAACAAATAGTAAGTGTGACATATCAAAATTATTTTTTATAGAAATATAAACAAATATAGAAAAATTGAACACATCTACAATTCTATATTTACACTACTATTAAAAATATAAATAAGATTGTAAAACTTTCTTTTGACTAAAATCAATGTTTTAAAAACCGACCAAAAAACAAAACCTCTTTGGCTTCCGGTTTCCAATTCAGCGGTTCAACCGTCACTACAACACTAATTGCCCTCTTCTTACATCTCTCTCAAATCCCAAATCATTTGATTCATTGATGTATCTCAGATTTTAATATAAGATTAGTGTTTGATCTCTCATCTCTTGTATCAATTTTTCAAATTCTTCATTGGAGTTGCAATTTTTTTTGTTGTTACAACTTAAAAAGAATCACAGAAATGAGAAAACTCAAAATCAAAATGGAATAACTAAAAACCCTAACTAATTTTGGCGATTGGGAATAATCAAATAGGATTTTAAGATATGAACCAAGCACTCTTTGATAGATTAAAATTCGTAAAGAAGGATAGAGAAAGGTCTCTCCAAAGATAAATTAAATACAAACAACTCATGGGATCAAATTTCAACAAGTTGGCCAAACCCTGGAAGTTTAAGGGGACAAAGTGTTAAAGACAGTCCTACATGTGCAACAAAGCAAGTCAGCTGGAAAGTTCGCAACTAATTGGGTCTGACCATACATTATCAAGAAAGTACACCTAACTAGGTACTATGTACTATGGGACCCCCGCACAAACGAATAGGATGAAATGATGAATGACCATTGGCTCAAATTGTATAATGAATAGTATTGCTCCTTCCATATGTCCTGATCTATGTATATTGAATCATTATACACCTGTTAATGAAATTTTCCCTTTCTCAAATCTGTGTGTACCGAATCATTATAGGACTGTTAATGAAATTTTACTTTCTTTAGGTGTATATCACATCATCATTTGCTTGCTACAAATCTGTGTTAATTGAAACATTACAAGATTCATAATAATTCTCTTTTCTCACTAACTATTTAATATGCTTGAATCGACGAACATCTCATATTCCCTAGCAACCCCAGGAAGGCCCTAGCAACGCCAGACGTGATGTCAATTTCCTGGCAACCCCAAGCACAATCTCACATTCCCTGGCAACCCCAAGGCATGATCTCATATTCCTTGGCAACCCCAGGAAGGCCTTGGCAACCCTAGGCGTGATTTCATATCCCTTGGTAACCCCAGAAAGGCACTAGCAACCCTAGGTGCAATTTCATATTCCCTAGCAACCCCAGGTGCGATCTCATAATCCCTGGCAACCCTAGGAAGGCTCTGACAACCCTTGGTGCAAGTTCACATCCCTTAGCAACCTTAGGAAGGCCTTGGCAACCCCAGGCGCAAGTTTGCATCCCCTGGCAACCCTAGGAAGGCCCTGGAAACCCTCTAGTGCAAAGTCACATCCCCCAACAACCCTAGGACCAAGGTTACATCCCTTGGAAACACCAGGAAGGCTCTGGTAACCCCAGTCTTGAAGTTCACATGAGGCACAGTGACTGCAAGTGGCCATCTACCTCCTATGACACTAGACATCTAGGCAATAAATACAAATCATATGCATGATACAATAAGCAGAAAATTCTATTATGCCCAGACAATCATCACAAACAAATACAAGCACGGAGCCTGTGAGGTTTCGCCCAATCAAAAGAGTGGTAACAGATTATAACTCGACCAGGGGGGATCAAACCACACCACAAGATCATGACTTGACTACCTCAAGAAACAACAAATACTCAAAATAGATAGGAAACCACTACAACAAACCAATAACACACAAGGTCCATCATGGACTTGAGATATCACTAAACACCCATCACAGGAATTAGACAATATTTCATGCTCATCACAAGCACACACACTTTGCATCACTCTAATAATCTACTACCATGACGCTACGTAGGTGCCTTAGCCACTTTTAACTCATTAAGCATTGCTCATTGTCCCACTCAGTTACGACCACTCCATTCTCAACGGCAAGGGCCCCCTTCACACTGTCATTACTATGGGGTTTCATTATGATCCTAACAATAATAAGATACATGCCTTTCTAGACCAAGGGGAATACCAAAATACAAAGTAACAAGCATGAAAAAATGGCCCACATAGGAAACCAAAGTTTTTCATTAAGCAATATGAATAAGATGTACACTTACAAGCCAAAACATTACAAGAAATCAAAACATAACATCTATTCAACTGAGCCTAAACCACTCGTCACTCATCCTAGAGATCACTTCCAGCTTCGCCATCTGCTCCTAGGCCTCAACAATTTCCTCATGCTCCTCTCGTAGCTGGGACAACCTTTTCTACTTACAAGCAACTTCCTCAAGAAGGATTGCTATCGCATCCTCACTCTTCTCAATGCAAGCATCTATAAACTTCAACCACTTTTGAAGATTATCTCGGTCTCTGGATTACAATCTTTGTAATCGGCCTTCCAAAAAACATGGGCCATGCGGATTAATCACTCTTGGAATATGATTCATATTGAAACCCATTACAGCGAAGGAAGCACAAGTCTTTAATCATCAGGCAAAAAGAGACCATGAGAGTGATTCCATAGACAGTGACATGATAGAGTTCATCATCCTGGCCATAGTGTTCAAGGAAGCGCTCATGACCATGGGAGGAAACTCGACAGCTAGCAACCATCCCTTCTAAATAATCAATGATATTGTGTTTGCAACACTTTGGGAAACAATGAATTGCTCCCGCCTATGAATACCTTGTACAACAATAGGGTCTGACACTACAAACTCGAGCAACACCATCTCCTCCCTCGCATAGTGCTCTATCAATTTGTGCTACACCACTGCAAGCTTTGCCGAAAGCTCTACATCACCAATAGAATCACCCTTTATGTCCATCACTATCGATTAAACGTCTACAGTGACCCTTGGCTCCTCTCTGCCACCATTAACCATTGAATGTTCCCCAACAAATTGATGGCCTGCTCTTGCCTCAAGTTAGTGAGGTAGCCGACTCCACTTGGTTGCTCTCGATAACAGGGTCTTCTAGAACACAAGATCTTCAACAGCTGCACTCCCTCCAAAGGCACCATCACCTCCCAGGTGGTCTCCTATAGAAGAAACCGTGTCACTAGAAGCACCAGTAGCACCAGTTTCGGATGATGGMAGTTTCTCCTCTATAGTCGCAAGGTATAGAGTGTCCAACTCCTCTACCAATTGCTTGATGATAGGCAATACAACGACATTGGAGGGAGTATAAGCAAAGGAAACCTAGAGCAACAGAAGAGGTTAGAATAACCAACAATATATAAAGTGACATTCACTCATAACAGTAGACATTGTTAGATA